GGGTGGGAGGTGGAGGCCAGTGGCGGGAGGCCCAGAAGGTGGAGGCCGCCAGGGCTGGAGGACCCGGGGCGCGCCACGTGTCTCCACTACGCTTGTAAAAACAAACTGTTTGCACATATTCTGTCGGGGCCTCTTTAGGGCCTGCGGGTTGAAAGAAGGGAGGAGGGAGGGGGAGCTGCCGGGCCTGGAGTCCCCTCGGAGCCCCCCGCCTGCCCCGGCCTGGGATCCCCTCCGCACCCCCCCCGTGGTCCCCGGCTGCTCCCCTCCCCTTCCCCCCCCAGATTCGGCCTATTTCTGGGATCGCATGCTGCCGCTCCCGTGAGCATCACTGGGGTCTGGTTTTTCTTTCTTTCCATTTTATTTTCTGTCGCTTTCCCTCGGGAGGGGGGAGAAGGGCGGTTCCGTGTGCACAGGCCCCGCCCGCCCCTCGTCCCGTCAACTTCACCGGTCAGGGCCCCGAGTTACCGGGTCTTCTTCTTCCTTTCAGGTCGGGCTTGGGGTTGCCGTTTGCAGGTGGGGGGGAGCGGGGGTGTGCGGGGAGTGGGGGGGCCTGCGTCTGTGTGCCACGCCCCTGGGGGCCGCGAGGACCCTCCCTGAGCACCCGCTGCTCCCGCCCACACCCTGTGCTCCTGCGTGTGGAGATCCGCACCTCGGACCATTGGAAAGCAAAAACCAACCACAGTCTGCTTCTGAAACGAGAATCTAACCCAACTCTGCGTCTTCTGCCCCACAAGATATGCAAAAACAATGCAATAATATCCTTTTTTTTTTCAAAATACAATTGTGAGTTGTGTTGGCATTAAAACTGTATTTAAACAATAACAAAAACCCACGGACATTTGAGGAGCAGGAGTCTGGAGGGACGTGGCGCTCGGTCCGCTCCGGGCACGCCGGCGCCGGCTGGCTCCGCAGAGGGATCGATGACACTTGAATTCAGGTCAGTTTCCGCATTTTTCCGCCATTTTTCAAGCGCTGACTTGCGGTTGTGCGAGCGAGTGGTGCGCGCCGCGTTTGTCTCCCGCGTTTGTCTCCGGATCCTCTTCCTGTGCACCCGCTGCCCCGACCCCTGGCATCCGGAGCGCGGGCTGGGCGGTCGCTTCGTGGGAGGGTCACCGGCGACCTCCCGCGTGACTGTTTTGCATATCTTGTGTTTGTTTCCCTCCCGCTTCGATCCCCGCCCCCCGAATTCTGTGATGGGCGCCCCATCGGACCCCTTCCTTGCTTCGTGGGTTCCCCCGCGTGGAGGAGGAAGAGGCCAGCTCTTCTGGTCGCTCAGCGTGGACTTTGGGCCTCAGGGATTCATGGCGCGCTGCGGGTGTGGAGCGCGTGGCAGGGCGGAGGGGGGGTCGATCACTCTGTTCAACCACAAGACCCTCGGTGACCCCCCCCCGCCACTCGGGCCGCGCGTGGGCCTGGGCCTCTCCCAGCTTTGTTCCCTCGTGGGCTGTGTCATCGGGGGCAAAAGTAGAGAAGCGTGCGGCCCGTCGTGCGGGCCCGCCCGGGGTCCCGGACGCCCCGGCCACCCAGGCCTCACCGTTCCCCTCGGGGCGGCTCAGTGCCCCGGCAATGTCTGCCACGGTGCCGCTGTCTGTGGCCAGGACCGCCATCCGTTTCCACCGCCCGCACGCAGGTAGGAGCGCCCCTCCCCCAACAGCCGATCCGGGAGGCCAGCCCTGTCCGTCCTCCACCTTCTGGGGGAGGACTCCAGCCGGCTCCTTTCTGCCTGATTCTAGAAGGTTCCTTGGGCCGTGTGGCACAGAGACTTTTCCTAGGCTGTGGCTTGATTTGGACGCGGTGGGTTCTAGCCCCTCCCCCCTCCAGGCCAGGGTGGGGGTGCTGGCGGGCCTCCATCCCCCGCTGCCTCCCGTGCTGGTCTGCGGTGCGGTGTCCAGTCCATCTAGGGTCCCTGGCTGCCGGCAGAAGGCAGGGCCGGCCGCCAGAGCACCCCGCCTGGGCCACAGTCACCCAGGAGTCAGGGGCCCCGCCGGCTGCCAGCGCACCCCCCCAGGCCCGAGGACCAGAGCAGGACCGGGTCAGACCCTGTGCCCCGCTGCAGGGCTGAGGGCCGCGGCCAGCTGGGCTCCTGGGCTCTCAGACCCCAGGGAGTCGGCAGCGATGGCTGGTTTGTGAGGAACCATAGGGAAATGGAGGCAGAGAGGAGGTGCACCCCCACCTCCCGTGCCCCTCCCGTTCCTTGGCCAGCCAGGGTTCTCCGAGATTTGCTTTGGAAGAGGAGGAGGAGATTCTAACCCGAGGCTGTTTCCTCAGCTGAACCAACCTGCCCGCGGGACCCGAGGCCGCTCCGAGCCCGGGCCTGAGCCGCCCCCCCCACGTCCGCCTCCCGCGCGCGCGCCCGAGCCCCGCGGAGCTGCCCTGCCCCCCAGCCACCTCCCTCTGCCTCTGCCCCCCACTGTACCCCGCAGCCGAGCAGGAGCGCACGGTGCCGTGGACTTGCTCTGGGCCTCATTACTTGAGTGTTAGCAGCGAGGAAACATGGCTTTGTGGTTCCAGATAGCAGCGTGTGGGTCACTTCCTATTGCTAAAAGACTACACACACACACACACACACACACACACACACACACACACAGAGTCCATGCACACATGCGCACATGTGTATGCACACACATGCATACGCATGTGTGCATAGTCATGCGCACACGCACACACACACCAAGTCCCAAGACTGAGCTCCTGTCCAGGCCGCGAAGCGGACCTCCTGGGCGGCGTCTGAACCTATTGTTCTCGTTGTCATGAAACATACTTGAATCTACAATAGGAGCAGACCGATGCCTTCTCCCCGCTCCTCCGGCGGGGTCTGGATGTGGCGTGGCGTGGCGTGGCGTGGCGTGGGACGGCCGGAAGGTCCTCTCGCTCCGGCCGCATGCCGTGTGCCGCGCACACAGCCAGAGCCAGAGCCAGTGCCAGACTTGGGGTTTTCCTGTGAGAATTTTTCAGACGTCGAAGCAAGATGGAGCCAAGGGACACACACTGCGGGGTCCCAGGGCCAGGGCCGGGTCCCAGGGCGGGGTCCCCCCACCGGCCGCCCCCCCACCGGCCACCCGTTCCTCAGCTCAGCCTCTCACAAGCTTGCCGGGCCAGGTGCTCGGGGCAGTGTTCAGAATGCAAGCCTGAGTTGTGGGAAGCTTCTGGAATGTGTCCCATGTCACATCTGGCACTGCAGATTGGCCATCTGAGACAATCCCTCCTGCCCGGGCCTGGGGGGGGGCGTCCCTCGAGAGGAAGCCCCCTGTGAGCCTCCGGAGTTCCTGGGCTGGGGTCCTCAGAGCCCCAGGTTGCCCAGCAGTGGGGGGCGGGGTAAGAGGAGGATAGGAGGGGGGTCACTGCCTGGAAGCCCCGGGCGGGCGAGTCTCTGCTGGGCTTTCGGCTCCCCCCGGAAGGCAGTGGGTGGGCCAGGGGTTCCACCCAGACCCCTGCCACCCCAAGCCCGCCACGCTTCCCCAAACTTCCTCACCCGCCCGCCCTGCCCCTCCCTGCCCCACACAGGCCTTTCTCCCCCCAGAGAGACAGAGACAGAGTCACCAGGGCTTGGTTGAGAACAAGCTATGGACACAGTTCACTGAGAAACAGGGCAGGGTCCCCACAGACACTCGCCATGGAACTGTTGATCCCTTCCAATCCACCAGAGCCACCAAGCAGAGGGTCTGGACGAAGCCCCCCCCCTTCCCCCAGCACAGAAAGACGGGAGCGCCCAAGGCCCCCCCACGCCTGCACCCCGGCCCGGCCCCCCAGGATCCACGACACCGCAGTCCGACTGTTGTAAATACTGTTGTACAGTTTGTAACTGCCGGCGACCGGCCGTCCAGGGTCCCGCCAGGGAGCGAGGCCGGAACCGAGGAGGGAGAAGAAGGCTCCGGGCCTCTGTGTGAGACGCTATTGTATATTCCTGTAAGATTGCATTTTTATCTAAGGAATGATGTTATTTAAAAAACAAACAAAACCCACAAAAAACAAGAATTGCAAATAAATTTCTTAACAATGTCTGTCTGGTGTGCTGCCCTCTTCCCCACCCAGCCCTTCTCCTCCCCCAGGGGCCGGGGCCCGAGTTCAGACCCTACAACCGCTGCCTGCCCAGCCCCACAGAGATCAGAAAACAAAACAGAGCAGGCCCTCCCTTTGGGGCACACGGAATGCTCAGCCCTAGGCCCAAGTTCCTGCGTCCACCCCAAACTGACCCACAGAAGGCAGCGCACAGGACGGCCGACAGAGACCGGGGGCGGGGTGCTGTGCAAAGCGAGGAGGGCGCTCGGGCCCGGGGAAGCCCTTCCCACACAGCTGCTCCAACGGCGGCCCAGACGCCACAGAACACAGGCAGGGGCGGCTCCCCAGACAGCTCTGGTGTCTGGAGGGGGGGGGGAATTCCCAAAACTAGGGGCTGACGCAGAAACATCTCAAGTGTACCTTACAAAAGCTGCCACAGCCGGGCGCCCGAGGCTCACGCCTGTGATTCCAGAGGCTGAGCTCTGAGGACCAAGGTTCAAAGCCAGCCCAGGCAACTACAAGAGATTCTTACCTCCAAGGAACCAACAAAAAGCCAGACGTGGAGCTGTGGCTTAAGCAGCAGGGCCACGAGCCTTGAGTGAGAAAGCTCAGAGACAGTGCCCGGGCCCCGAGTTCAAGCCTCAGGACGGGCACAAAGGGGGAGGGGGGACTATCAGGGAGTGGACACGTTTGCGTGTGGGTGTTCACGGGCAGGGATGGACAGACGGAGGCCGGACACCCCAGACGACCCTCACGGTGCGAATCCCAGCAGCTCACGGACGCTCGTGTGCTGGAAGGGCCGGGGCGCGCGCAGGCCTGTATCGCACCGAGGGGCACAGCGCCTGGGCCGGCTTCGGTAGACCCGTCCGCGGCCCGTGGGCCTTGTGCCGCCTGGAGGGGCCGCTCCCACACTCACGCCCCACCCACGGGGTGAGGCGACCCCAGCCCCAGAGAGAGAGAAGAGGCAGCAAGTGTTTATTTTAAAAAAGGGAGGGGGAGAGCAAGAGGTGGACGCCAAGCTAGACGTTCGGGGGGAAGGGCCTGGTGCCCCCCATCATGAACTTGGCGATGGACACGCCCTTGAGCAGGTAGTGGTGGATGCTGTAGGCGAAGAAGCCGAGGCAGAAGAGGATGATCATGAAGGACAGGGTGACCAGGGTGTAGATGGACATCCGCTTCTCCGTGGTGGCCCTGATGAGGCAGAGGAAGGGCCCCGGGCAGCCGGGCGTGCTGCAGGGGATGGGCGTCTGGCTCACCACAGGCAGGTGCTGGAAGAGCAGCAGCGCCAGGAAGACGCCCTGGATGGCCACCTGCAGGAGG